AACGATTTTTCTTTTTTTCTTTTTTCTTTTTTTTTTTTTTTTTTGATTATTGGCATAACTATGTTGTTAGTTAATGAATTTGATCAGAAAAAAAGGTACTCTCAAAGGAAAGTGAAGAGATTAGGCATTAGAGAAAACGAAAATATAGTTTAGCTGATCAGATTCTTTCAGGATTATCACGTATTTCTGCAATACCACTGAGTTGCTGGAGCTGTTAGATGCTTTGGCTTAATGATTGGATTTTCAAAACATTTGAAATTGTTAATTTCTTCTTTCAGTTTTCTGAATTATCCACTTTTTTGCTTTTATGTCTTTAGTCCCTCTACTAATTTCTTTTTGAAAATCACCTTTAAACGTTTTTGCTACCGATTTCGGAACTTTTAAAATATTGAGTTTTGAAGAAATTTTGATTAGATCATTTATCAGTTCATATTTTTGCAGTGTGATTTTCTAGACTAGAGAGAAAAAAACAATAACGTCAATTTATCTTACGAATTATTTTCACATTTCTGATCTAACCAAAAATATAATAACTGAAAGTGTTTCCTTTTCAATGAAGTATTAATGTTTTTGTTAATTTTCTCCACTGTTTTTATTGTAGTTTACTTTATATTATTCAATTTTTGACAATTCATTCGCAATATTTATTAACATTAGTTAGTGGCGAAAGAGTAAACTTCAAATATAGGTAAGAGAATGGAAGAATTTGTGAATTTTGATGATATGTGTTATCATTAGTAGTGCCTATTGTTAAAACTTGAAATTAATTCTGTTTCGGGAATCTTTTTTCCCTCCCTTGAATTCAATTGTTTACTTTCATTTCTCACTTTTTTTAATAGCTCCAATCTAAGCAAGTAATATTTGTTAGTTATATTTTTATATAATTTAATTTCGCTTCTATTCTTTCCTTATTGAAATTATTTGCTTTTTATTTTGCCTAATAACTCTGTCGCAATTTTGTTTTGTTGATTGGGTACGAAGTTGTAGTTTAGTACGTTTATATTATTTAAATTTTGTTAGCAGTTTTTTAAAATTGTTTCAAGAATTGTTAACAATTCGTACTACTATAATTGTAATCCAATTAGTTGTATTCACTTTGTATATGTGGCAGTGATCATAATTTTTATTATGAAACCTTTGAGAAAATTTGGAGTTTGGAAAAATTTTAATAGTTTCTATAAACTAACACTTGAGCCTTCTTCTTATTTCTATGTGATGAACCGCTAAGTTTAGAAATGATCAGATCAGTGTCCTGTTTTTTAATGCTCTATTTTTACGTGAATCGTTATTGGTATCCAATTTGGTAATTATCTTACGCAGCTTTTTTTGCCGTAAAATAAACTGGTAATTCTGTTTGATAGGCATTTTTCTGTATTTATTTGAATGGAAATTAGCATGGTACCCATTTGATTCTCCTTAGCTTTGAATTTCCCTTTAAATTTCATCATTTTTTGGATTATTTTTTGACTTTTCTAATTTTTGCTTAAAATTTCTTTCTAAATTTATGGTGTTTTTGGCCAATTTTTAAAAAAAATTTTTTTTAAAATTTTTTGCATTAATCTCTGATCTCTGAGCGACAAAATGATAAAAATTTAGTGTGTGCATTGCTTTTTTTACACATGAGGACCACATGAAAACTATAAATGCACGACAATGATATGAAAATGATGGAGGTAGATCCGGCGGTTTAATTACCGAGGTTTGAGATAATTGAGTGTTTCGGCCCAGAGTTTCGGCTAGTGTGGCTTGAAGTAAAATTTTGGAATGTCCTGCAATTTTGTGGGACAACAAATGTGTAACATTTAATGTATGCCATCGTATTTGTTGATGCTTACGACCACACTACGTTGAAAGCACGACATCTCGTCCGATCTGTCAAATTAAGCAACGTTAGGCCTTGTTAGTACTTGGATCGGAGGCGGCCTGGGATTACATGATGATAAACAATGATAAGGGTCGCCTTTTTTTTCTTGCAAATAGTAATGCGTAGAACGTTTGTTATTGGCAATTAATTGTTTTTAATTACATGCATATTTTTAATTAGATTTTAAATAGAAGCAAAGAGGAGAACTTAAGGTTGTTATGTCAGTTAAAGTATATGATTTTGATTGTTTTTTTTTTCTGTTGAAATGAAAAGTTTTACTACATTTTATCATATAGTATATAGCAAACCGCAATATGTTAAGTAATACTTCATATCATATTTATTAAAAATTATATGAGCAATATTAATTACAGCAAATATTTTACAATACTGTTACAAGAAAAAATAGAAATTTGAATAAAATTTATAAATACGATGGGCATTCCCAGGATTCTTTCCATGTGCAGAATGCATAATTCCGGATTATTGTAATTGGACCGAGTTTAGTTTTCCGTTCGATGACGCATGCATTCAAGATCGGATCGCAATAACATCCTTTATCACTGAATCAGATTGAATTAATTCTTACTAACTAATTTGAAATTGTAAATGATGACAATTGTTCAGATTTCTAAATGTTCGAAATTATTTAATTAATCTGGCTGAGGATTCTGTTTAAAAAAAATTACCAAAAAAAAAATTCTATCACATAAATTAAAATTAAGATGTTTAATTTCTGATAATGCAAGGAAAAAAATGAAAAAGCCTTCGAATTTTTCTAAATAAAAAAGTCTTCTCAACACTGAATTAATTTGAAGTCTGTGATAAAAATATTTGAATTTTTTTTTTTGGAATTCATATTTAAATTAAATATTTCAATAACTAACGTCCATTGTTGAATTTTAGCCAAACGACACCAAAAAACTGGCTCTCGCATTTTATAGCAGTCGACATTAGAGGTGCATGGATTAAGTCTAAAATAAAATATTTAAAAAAAAATTTTTGGAACATTAAAAAATCTTGAATAAAATCAAAAATTTTTCTTTACAATACATTTTAAATGCAATCCATATAAAAGTATAAATGTTTGGATTATGGTACGAAAAATGGCTTACATCCCATCGGTATTTATAAAAGTTGCACCGTGATAATTTTTTGGCATTTCTTTACTAGCATTGAATATATGAGCCTTTAAAAAAAGAAAAAAATAATCATATGAATTTGAATGGTTTGATTCAGGACGAAGAACAAATATTTTAATTGGAAATTTTATATCTTTTATTTTTAAAAGACAAATTTCACATAGCAAAAAGGTCACTACGATAATTTATCAAGCGAAAACTATCATTTAACTAATATCATTTTCTTTCTTTTTTTTTTTTGTTTAAAAAAGAATGAAACTTAAAAAAGACAAAATTTTTTTTCTGATTAAAAAAATTGATGAATATTTTTATCACTTACCAATGTGGATGTTTCCGCATGAAGAAAGGATAAGTTAAACAGAAGCAAAAATTGGATCGAAAAAATTTTCATTGAAACTGTAATTTAAAAATTCCTTATTAATTTTCATAACCCATTGATGATTTGCTATAAAATTAATTTGATTTTTTTTTTGCAATAATATCATATCCAAAAAATAGTTTATCCATTTTTTCCTTTCCTTTTTTTTTTTTTATTTATACTTTTTCATATGGTTTATAAAATGATGAATCCTAAAAAATTTTTTATTCCTAATT